TATACAGGGTTGCTATATGGTGGAACTGACTCAGTGGCACTCAACCACCACCACCAACCAATACAGACATGAACAAATATTTTCAATGTTTGATATAGAACATTCTTGTAGAAAATACGAAAAGCCTCTGTAAATAAAACATAAAATGCAGGAAGACTATTATAAAATACAAATGGCTATTAATGGGCAATTTATGGAAAGGGTTGTTCAAACAGCTAATAGATATTTGAAAAGAAACTCAAACTTACTAATAATATGAGAACTTCAAATAATAATAATAAGATTCAAAGTTATATTAAAGAGGATGATAAAAATTAGGAGAATAAAACCAAATGTTGGTGATGAGTTTGGATTTCTTTTGTATTATGGGGGGAAATGTTATAGCCACTTGAGATAGCATTCTGTCCCTTTGGAAAGTATTTAGTAGACTACCTATGTACTTCTGGATACATATCTCAAAGAAATACCTAAAGTTTCTTATGAAGATTTATGTTTGTATATGTTCTTTGTGGCAGTGGGATGTTGGAACAACCTAGTTAGATAAATAGAAAAAATGGTGGATGCATATTATGGTACAGTGGACTAGATGAAAATTTCCAGAGTTGAGTGAAAACTGTAAGAAAAAATGAGATTTATTGTGCAGTGCTTCTTAAACAAATTAACTGTATTTACACACCATAACGTAGGTTCTGGTATAGGTTTTGCAGGTTTTTGTATTTTAAAAGACACATTTTGAATATACTAATGTGAGACTCATATGAGGAGACCATTTGGAAGAAGGGTCCAAGAATGAGAGGAGAAAACAAAATCGAGAGAATGATCTCATACATACTGATAGAATAAGGATCTGTGACTGGATGTAACAAAATAACAAAGAGTATTTTGGAGTTTGGATAGTGAATTTATAGAGAAATAATAATTATATGTTCAAGAAATGTTTATAAGGTATACTAAGGAGCCCTGGTAGCACAGTGGGTTGTGCGTTGGGCTGCTTACTGCAGTTCAGCTGTTGGAATCCACTAGCTGCTCTGCAGAAGAAAGGTGAGACTCTCTGTTCCCATAAAGAAATCCTAAACAGGGTTGCTCTGAGTATGGACTGACTTGATGGCACATAGCAGCAGAAGCAGTTTGTGTAAGAGTGAATCCTCATGGAAAATTTTTAAAAAGTTTAACTACAGCAAATCCATGATTTTATATTCAAGTTCTTTTGTTCAGAATCTTTACAGAATATTGTTCCTGAATTAAAGTGATATTGTAAAGACTCTAAAGAGATCCTCCTTTGCTTTCTTCTCTTCTTTCTTTTCTCCCTTTCTTTCTTGTAGAATGTGAATAAGAGCATAGTTTAAGAACCAGATAGATATGGGTTTAAATCTTGGCTATGCCACACATAGGGTCATCATGAGTGAGAATTGACTTGATGGTAGCTAACAATAACATTCCATATACTGGTGGTGATGGTGGTGGTGGTTATGTGTTGTGGAGTTGGTTCCAACTCATAGCGACCTTGTACAGGGTTTCCAAGGCTGTAAATCTTTATGGGAGCAGAAAGCCTCATCTTTCTCCTGTGGAACAGCTAGTAGTTTTGAGCTGCTGACCTTGAGGTTCGCAGCCTGACTTATTACCACTATGCTACCAGAATTCCTTACACATGCTATTTAGGGTAAGTTAATTAATTTCACTGATTTTCAATTAATATAGATAGGAAATGTGATTGATAACATCCTCTCATATAACTTCAAGTATAAACCGAGGCAAGTAAAGTGTGCTGAGCACAATGCTTGGCTCAAAGTAAACACCCAATAAAGACAGCTGTTATTTTCATTAATTATAGTTCAACACTCATTACTAAGTATAAAAGGAATTGTATAAGGAATAAAAAATATTAGTAACTTATGATCTCTGCCCTTGAGAAACTCCATACATTTGTGGAGAGGACTAACAGACAAATGAGCTATAATAAATCTCAGAGATTACTGTTTAAGATAGGTAATCACATTTCTGTTGGAACAGCATGGGAAGGGAAAACACATTAGGGAAAATTTCACAAAAAATACAGCAATTCCCTTAAGAGGGTTTTGTCATTTCTATACACCTTGATATAGGGCTGGTCATGCCCTAAACAGACCCTCATTGATAGGCTTTCAGTACCAATTGGGTGTAGCTGGGAATCTACAGAGGGGAGGCTGATATGTGGTTTATATGATATGTCAGCTCTAGTGGATTAATCTTGGTAGGGACTTAAAGCATTTGAAGAAGCTGAAATCAAGGATTTCCTGACCTAAATCATGCATTTCTTTTGTAATTATTGGTGACGTTTATAGCTGTGGTTTTCATTAGAGTCATATTCTTTATTTAGATTTTGTTCAGGTCTGGATAAGGATCAGAATAGTACTGTGTGTTCTATACATACTTGGTTCTATTAAGTGCCTGCATAATCCAGGCATTGGCATTTCTGGTTCCCATAGTCTGGAGTGACTGAACTACATTAGTGCCTTTCCTTTTCATTGACCTTTTAGATGGCAATGAAAATAGCAATGCACTGTAATTTTTTTCCTTGAAGTATCTGAGACATAACAATAAATCAGAATTTAGCTAACTCTGGGAACATTTTTAGAAAAAAAGTTCAACTTTGTTCACTATTATAGGATAGCTATCAAAAAAAATTCAGAATAATTTAGGATTTCCTAACACTTTTATATTTCCAGAAATTGTGCACTAGTCTTGTTAATCTCGACTCCTTCTTAATTTAATTTAAAGAACACTTTTTTTTTTTTTTTTTAAACAAGCACTATGCTATGAGGTTATTGATGTTGTTGTTAACTGCCATTCAGTAAGTTCCAATGCATACCAACATTGTATAGGATTTCTGAGGAGTGGCTGGTGGGATTGAACTGCCAATCTTGTTGTTAGCAGTCCAATGCTTATCCCACAGCACCACACCAGGAGTCCAGGTTATCAGGCGGTGTTCTTAAATATGCAAAAATGTCTTGGAAGCCAGTAAATGTTTAATAGAATTCCAATAAGAAGTAATGGCTTTTGGAAGGGGCATTAATATTTCAGGGAGAGAAAAGAGATTGAGCAAATATTCATAGTTGAGAAAGTTAAGTAGAGTCTAGCAGAGAAAAATAATAAGTGACTAAAATTCAAGGTTCATGCTTTGAGAAATACATCTAGACATTTTTCTGTGAGAAATATATGCAGACGGATCTGTCTGTGAAGTGCTTTAGGTACATGACAAAGAGGTTGAATTTTAGACATGGTGAGGTATGGGGAGTCTAAGAGAATAGATTCGATTAGAGTTCAGTTTGCTATCACTTTTTTAAATGAAATTTTTGAGTTTAGTTCCATTAGAAAACAACTGTTAGACTCTAGGTTGCCCCACAAATAAGGTAAGTCTGAACCTAACAGGTTTTCATCATGCTGAAGTCTAAAAAAGTCCTTTTCTGAGTAATAATGACTTTTTCTTTGTATTCATGGATAAAAATTATGCAACTTATTCCACTACTGACAACTTAGGACCCTAGTGTTAGCAATTAATTTTATTTATTAAATTTATAATTTAAATAATTTTTAGCCTCCAGTCACCTTGATTAAGAATCCTCTGAACGTTGTTTAAATTATTTTTATTTATGATACTCACTGCAATTGATGATTATTTTTGTGATATGTATACCTCCAATATAGAATGTATGCTCCCTGAAGGGAGTTGTTGTTAAGTGCTATTGAGTTGGTTCCTACTCACAGTGACCCTACATAGGATTTTCAAGGAGTGGCTGGAAGGTTTGAACCACCAACCTTGTGGTTAGCAATCCAGTGCTTATCCCACAGTGTCCTCATGTGGCGCTGTAGGATAAGCACTGTACTGCTAATCACAAATCCAGCAGTTCAAGTCCACCACCCACTCCTTGAAAACCTTTTACAGGGTCACTTGAGTTTTAACGGACTCAATAGCACTTAATTATAACAACAACAATACACAACACAGCTCATGGTAGATGCTAAATGATTTTCTGAAATAATAAATTGAATAAATTAAGTAGCCCACTACTTGGGGTAGTCTGTAGGTCAGCCATTAACCTACTGATAAAGTAGAATGATATAATGAGCAAATCTCTTGAAACGATTCATTTTGCTAACATTTAACATATATTTACATTGTTGTTACGTGTCATTGAGTTCCTGACCCATAGCGATGTATATGGTTTAGTATTGTATAAGGTTTCCAGGGAGCAGCAGGTGAGTTTGAACCACCGACCTTGTGATCCAGTGCTTTATTCCACAGTGCCACATCAGACCCATATTTACAGCTTACAAAATTCTATTAAGATATTATGCCATCATTTATAATATTGTCCCTAATTAAAAAAAAACATGAGACTTAGAGAAGTTAAGTAAATTTCCTAAGTTTTTGTAACTACTGCTTACACAGTCTGACATAAATCATTGCAACTCATCACGATGCTATATTATTGTTACCTGGAATAGAGAAATATTGCCATCATGGATAGGAAGAAACGATTAATTCATTTTTGAATTGAATTATTGTTGGCTCAATGCAGTCATGTCTAGTCCTAGGGGTAGTGGGTAGAATTCTCATGTACATATTTATTCTAATGGTTCACAGATGGCAGATGCTCACCGTCTGAAGCAATGGGCCGCTGTCAGGATCCAAGTGTTACTGATCAGGATGCCTCCGCAGTGATGAACTTTACTGAGCTGTAGACTGACTTGCCACGGCCAGTCTCCTTCCTCAGCCTTAGAGCCTCCAATGATTCTCTCATCAGACAATGTTATTAGGTCCCGACGGGCCCCACATTCTAATGAAAAAAAGTGCATTAATGCATTGGGAAGATCATGACTTGTTTGCATTTGAGAGATAGTACAAAAGTTTCCACATTATGGGTTTTTATTGTTATTTTTTATTATTTTGTCTTTCCCTTCATCTTTTCCTCCTCCCGTACCACTGCTTCATCTACAAGTCACACATTTGTAGGGATATATTCTTCACCATGACATGCTAGACTTTCCAAAATTTTGATTTTAGAGTACATACATGAGCTCTGGTAGCGTAGTGGTTACGAATCAGACTGCTAACCTCAGGGTCAGCAGTTCCAAACTACCAGCTGTTCCACCGGAGAAAGATGAGGCTTTCTGCTCCTGTAAAGATTTACAGCCTCGGAAACCCTGTACAGGGTCGCTATGAGTCGGAAGCGACTCCACGGCACATAACAACAACATGACTACTATTGCCTAAGCCAAGCAGGGGTGGGAAAACTTTTTTCTGCCAAAATTTATAACATCAGTTGTGGGCCATACAGAATTGTTGTTGCTAAGTGAC